CTCGGGCGATTGTTATGGTTCTGTTGGGGCCGCTACTGTAAATTACACCCATTACATGCTGTCTGACACGTATAAGCCGTCTATCTAAGCGGGCGTTAGATCGGGGATTAGCGCACATAAAATTCAGTCTGGCCCTCGGTGATGTGGGCGCGAAACTTGGTCTCTTATTTTAAAGGAAGATCATGACGCCGGAGGAAACAGTGCTAACAGGATGTCGGAGAAAACTGCGCGGGGGGAATGAACAATACGTACAGGAAAAGTCGAAAAGCCCGAAAGTAAGAGGTGACTTAAATATGAAGGCGTAGATGGTACAATATTATAAAATTGACTTGAGAGTGGATTACATTCATTTCAGATTCTTCATGAAGGCTTACTCTGTGGAGTTATTCAATTGTTAATAACCTACACGTTATTGGTTTTTGAATCTCTTATTTGCAGTGTAGACAAAGGATTTTAATCTCAAAATCAATTAAAAAATAAACCCATATAACTTTTATATTCTGACGTGCCTTCACAGTTCACGTAGTTATGAGGTCGTGTGTCTGTCTATCTGCCTGTGTGCGTGTTTCACCTATTAACTAACGAACAGATTTAGGCACAATTTCCTTCTTCAGAAATTTGATTTATATCGATTCAATGTAACTCCTGCTGTACCGGAAGCTAGAATAAAACGTTATCAGTTTAAAACAAGTTTGGAAATGTAACGCAAGGATCGTTCTGGCGCGTTCACTCTGTTGCTGCTTAAGATGTTTGAGCTTTTTGTACCGACAGAATGGCCTCCGCGGGAGATGGTAACTAAAACAGCAAGGCGCGAAACCGCCAACATTTCTAGATCCATTAAGCATCATTAAGCAGTGCAGTATGCCAGATGTCCGCAACGGATGTGGCAGCAGTTGTCAGTTGAATGAATAATCTCATTCACGGCGTGGACACGGACTGTGCGCTCGTGTGATACATCAAACATGTTCACATTCGAGGGGAAGTGGAACGTTTCATGAACACTTATTGCCCGTCTGAGAGTGTTTTTTTGGAAACACGTGATGTGGGGGAAGTTTTTTTTTTTACTGTGTAAAATTCAGTTTACGCAGGGCTCTGTTGTTCACGCCCAGGTTTATGTCAGATGAAAATTGGAGACTTTTCCCACGCTTAAAATAACCTATATATATATATAGAGAATACGGTGGGCGGGACATGCGGCATGTATTGGGGTGAGGAGGGGGTGTTTACGAGGTATTGGTTGGGAGAACAACGTTAAGATGGACCTTTGGGATATAAGAATCGATGGAGCGAACTGGATGCAGCAAGCTCAGGATGGAGTCCGGTAGAGGGCTTTTGTGAACACGGCGATAAACCTTCGGGTTCTATAAAGAAAGTGGGCTATTCTTTGACAAGCCGAGTATACAATCGACTTTTCAAAGAATATCCTGCACCGTAGAGTGAGTGAGTGAGTGATCTCTAGTGCTGACATCAAGAATATGTGGACCATACCTCCACTTCGCACCTACTCCATCTTGTGGTGTCCTTTTCCTTCACTTTATTTTTCTCATGTAAAATCACTTGACCTATTTACAGAACAGCTATATAAATTAATAGACAGGATATAGTACTTGAATTTAATTTTGTGTCAGGTTGGAGATTATTACGAATTCTTATGATTTGGAAACATTTATACGTAAACACCTGTTTCTGGTAGGAGCATTGGTATTCTTCTTCTGAAGGCTTTGTTGGCAGTAGTTGCTGTGCGTTTGCATCAGTAATGTCATAGTTAAGTGCCACCAGAAGCCATTTGGACAGCATCCAATATAACATACATCCTGGTCATTACATTCTTCGACATAGCTCTCACGAAAACATTTAATTCTGTAGTTAACGATCCTTAAATACTGTTGACACATGTAATGTAAAGAGAAAATAGTTCCTATGCCCAAGCACAATGCTTTTGAAGACATGTATTCTTGTATGAGATTTTGGCAGCTTCATAGTGCATTTGCTTACCCTAGAAAGGGACCTGGTACCTCAGTGGCACCAGAGCCAGTCTGAATGTGGCGGTGAAGATAAGAACTTATGCCTCCAATTTACTAAATTAAGATTGCGTGTTTCATTAGTGATTTACAATTTATGTTCTTGAAACGCCACAAGTAGCTTGTAGGGAGAGTTGAGGACAGTTTTGTTTTGGGTTATCTTGTAAAACACGAAATAAAATTTATTTTTAAACTAGGGGTTCTCAGTTCTCGGTCAGCTGGCCGCATACTGCCTTCCAACACGTCTCTGTGCAGCCTGCATTAACTTTTTGTGATATTTTTATCATACCGTGCGATGAAAAATAGCTACCAGCTTAATTAAATATTTAATTAACCCTTTAAAGACTAGTGGTAAGTATATGTGCCACTTAAACATTCAGCAATGCGGAACATATATTTTGGTTTCGTATGGTTATCAGATTAAACAGCGATTATTTCCGTAAATAGCATCAACCAGTTCATTTAACATGTTTTTTTTACAGTGGGAACTTAATTTTTAAATGTTATCTCAATTTTAGATCAGTTTTGGGCATTATACATTCAGTTTTAAATGAATATTTAATTATTAAAAAGACAAATTAATCAGTAGTAGGCCTTTGTCAATCTTTGAATAAAAATTTTCTTGGATATTATCCATCGTCTAGTAAAATATAAAACGTAAAATGACTCTTCACCATCGTCAAGAAGTTTTAACTTTGTCAATATGTTTTTGTGATTGTCAGTTAGTAGCATTTTTAATACGTTACTGTCAAGATTCAGTAGATTGCCGGCCTGCCAGTTGACGAGAAAGGGTGAATGTGGCCTCATGACGTAAATGGTTGAGAACCCTTGACTTAGATAAATATCTTGTGTGGAGCGTTGAAAGTTTTATACTGTCTCACATTACTGAAGACAATGGAAAAGTTGTAATTTGTCTGATTTATTAGAATACATTTTATTGGAATGTGCCTTTTTGGACTATGTTTTCTTAGCCATCGCAGTCCTGGAAAATTCCACTATAGTACCAGAGGTAGTCCATAACCTCTTCTTACCAACCTTTTCCAGTGCATTGTATGGAATGCTCTCTCGTTATTTGACAACAAATTACCTCTGTAGTTGACATAACGCCCAGTTTGATTCTGGGACACCAGGTAACTAAAAATTGCTTTGCGGCTGGAGCCTTAAGGAAAACGATGGCATATTATCTTTGAATAGGCCACGACCACTTTAGATCTTTACACTGTACACAAATCTCTCAAGCCATTCACTAGTAATTGCGCTTACAAAATGATACATTTATTAAATATTGTGTGAGCCAACGAATACATTTCGTATTTTAAAGACCCCTAGTTTGAATATTAGCTGGGGGTGGTATTTGCAGTTTTCATGATTTTACCCACTCTACCCAAATACCACGATAATGCAGCGAATTGGGTGTTTACCACAAACGTAACAGTACACGTCATAAATTCCAACTTAAAATAAATTCATGATAAATTTCCCACGCTATCATGTTCTATAACCGTTGCTATTAAAATGTTGTTAAAATAACCTAATAACACCCAGTCATTACGCGCTGCTGTAAGCAATGCTCGTTCTGTTTTTCTGTTGGTGCTAATTGATTTTGAAATGCCATGTTGGATACTTACTGGGGGACACTGGGAACGACCCGTTCTTCAAGTGCCTGAGCACTGCGGGTCCCAACTTTTCGTTGGCTTTTATCTATAGACATTCGGTAGGACTCCTTGGATGAGGGATCGGCCCGTCGCAAGGCCTCTACCTGTACACAGGACAGCACAACACAGAAAAACGCGGACAGACATCCATGGCTTGAGTGGGATTCGAACCCACGGTCCCAGCGACCAAGCGGCACAAGGCCGACGCCTCAGACCACTGCGGACCCCCGGATACTTACACAACTTTTTAATTTAAATTTTGTATTGCATTCTATGAGACTGTGTTGCAACTTTCCCCATTCTCATCTGTCCTACGGCGCCTCAGAATTCACGAACAAGGTCTACATTGAAAGACTGAATTACTGTAGATATTTTTTATGCTTTATTGAAATGTAGCGTGTATGGCTTTCCTTCCCATTTCTGAAATGGCATTGCTCTTGTTTTCTTTTAAGAATGTTCCATTGTATTCGTTAAATCGTATAATTTTGACATTAACAGTAATGAGGATTCCTCTGCATTTGGCACGTCTTGTTCATTCACATTGCTGTTGACAGCATCAAAATTATATACCCATAACTAACCTTATTTTCAAATTTTTGTGGTGCTTTCTGAGTGTGCTTGGCGTTATCGAAGAGTTCAAGAAATTCTTCATTTGACAAATGTCAAATGTTTTTTTCTTGTTAAACAGTTCTCAATTCAAATTGTGTTGCTGGTTCTTTTAGTACATTGTTCATATCCTCTATTGTTACATATTTTATAACCTCAATTTCTCCATTTCTCCATTTCTACTGTCTTTGTTAGTGTCTTTTATGTGAGCGCTGTACTGTAATGTAGTATAATGGTTTATCCACCCTTCAGTTTCGTAGATATTTAAACCCATTCGCTTAAAGGATACTTAATACACGCACTTTTATTTTGTTAATGATTTTCTCCAGTTTAAAGACGACTCATAATCATTTTAGGGGATACTGTACTCGTATAGTTTACTCTGTAGTGTTGAATTTAATGTAACATTTTAATATTTTTATGTGGAACCTGAATTGCTGGTAAATTATTTGAATTGTACTAATCTGTGCGCATATACGCATGCACATGTATGTGTGTATACACGTGTTATTCTGTGTGTGCATGTACATGTATGCATATGTGTATGTAATGTGCACGCCCGTGCTCGTGTATACGCTTGAATGCGCTGGCGTCCTGGAGTATCACATTCAGGCGTTTTTACAAATGCAGCCCAATCCTTCCTTTGAATTGTCTTGGATAATGATAATGTTTTATGTTTAAGCATATGTTATGTGTTAATAATGGATGATTTCCACAGGAGTTCTGGTGGTGAATGTGACATGGCGAGGGAAGACTTACGTGGGCACACTCCTTGACTGCACCAGGCATGACTGGGCCCCTCCAAGGTATGAATAATACGTAAGATTTGAGGTTTTCACAGCAGTGAGTATGAAGACAGAAATCTTCATACTCATCGCCCTGATGACGGAGGCAGTATGACCTCTGAAACGTTGGTTAACATCGACCAGACTACACCGCGCAACAACCCAGTAGACAGAAATCTTCGTATGAATAATACTTCATAGAGAGTGAATGACAAGCGAACCACGATTTTTTTTAAATTCTGTCTCATCTGTCACACTCTGAACTTGCATGGCAGAAGTGCCTGACTCCCTGGTGCAAGCTTGTTTTCGATATGCTGATAGTTTCTCGTCAGCTTAAGAAATATTTGAAAAATGCTGTATTACCTCATCCTGAAGCAGTTTATCCAATCAATACCCTCATTTTATTTATGAAATGAATGGATATAGGGATGATCATGTTTGTCTGTATGATTCAACTCAGGAACTGCTGGACGAATTTGAACGAAATTTGGCATGGATGTTATGCCATTGTGGACTACCCTAAAATAATATATTTCAATTTTCTACAGCCGGTAATACCAGTATTACAGACAAACTAACTTGCCTTGTGATGGCATTGATTAACATTACTTGAAGGAAACTTTAAAACCACAAGATTTATACAGTTGAAAACTAAAGTTGTCAAAGTAAGGCGACTGGCGATCGCTTATTAATAATGCAGGTATGTGTTTTGGTATGGATTACACCATTCCAGTCTTGTTAGACAGGAGACAGGAAGACAGAATGGTAGAGTGTATTCCTCAAATTAAATGTCAGATGGGGCATGGACATTCAGAGTAAATGCCATATCAATTGATGAAATTCTCTTATTAACAAGCCCTTCCTTATAGAAGTATATAACTAAGTCTTTTGTTAACAAATGTAATTAGGAATAGAACATTAAAATTAAATGCTATATTAGAACATAATGAGCGATGTATGTTATTCCATGTACCAAGTTTTGTACAGTAATAGCCTGAATTAATATCAATGTCACCAGTAGGTAAAAAATGGTTTCTGATGTAAACACTTCTTTAGTTTTAATTTTTGACTGCCAGACTTGATTAACATGCTTCAAAGTAACTGCAGGTTGATGTATTGCCAAATTAATTAACCTTGTTAATATTGGAAAGAACTTCATGTAAGTACAAGAGAAATTGAAAATATGGGGGGCCCTCCGTGGTGCAGGTCAGTGATTATATCTAGAAGGTAATTTTGTGTAAATGAAACCCATTGCATTCGGACTGCTTTATGTAGGTATGGGAAATCAAAAGAATAATTTCTTTCTACAGGTTCTGTGATTCACCCACGAGTGATCTGGATGCTAGAATGCCCAAAGGTCGAGGAAAGCGAGGCAGAGCAGCAGCTAGTACAAATCCTGGAGGAGACCTCAGTAACTTCACGGAGACACGGTCATCTGTGCACAGCAAGTTACGAAATGGTGGGGCAAAGGGTCGACGTGGAGGTGCAGGTTCTTCGTCGAGTTCAGTTGCAACTGCTGGAACTGGATCTCCTACGCCTTTTGCACCACCTCGACCAGAGTCTAACAGCAAAAGAAAGGGTCGGATGCCAGACGAGGAATCTGTCGGAGCTGGGAAGAAGAATCGAAGCACGTCGGCGTCGGGAAGCAACAGTCCTCCTTCCTCACCGGTGCTACTTGAGTGTCCAGAACCAAATTGTTCAAAGAAGTACAAGCATATCAATGGGCTTAAGTACCACCAGTCACACGCGCATGGGTCCGCAGAAGACGAGGACACAAAGGATGCTGCAAGTCTGTCTGAAAATGATGAGAGCAATGCAGAAGCACCAAGCCCAGCTCTGTCAGTCAAGTCTCCTGAAAAGTTTACAGACCAGCAGCAACAGCAGCGCAAAGACGATCTCTCAAATCAAAGTCCTTTGCCGACACCTCCAGGCGGACTTCAGGCAACACCTCTGCCCATACCACCAAATGTTTCAGAACAACCAAGCCAACCAGTTTTGAACAAGAGTGGATTGGTTTCATCACCGGCTCCTCAGATGCCACCGGGTGTTTCAAATCAAACTCCTGCTCCTCCAGAACTAGTCCCAGCTCCAGTTGCATCGACAGGTCCGCTTTTGAGCCCTGAAGCAAAAAGTGTAGTAAAGCCTGGCGTTCTTCGTTTTGGACCGCCCGTCGAAGACTTTTCAGTGGGCGTGTTTTGTAGCAATAAGCCAATTTTGCCAGTGACTTCAGTGGCGAGCAGCAACACACCAGTATCGACTATCAGAGCTGTCAGTGTGGCAGTAGCTCCAAGCCAGCTACCATCTCAGCCACAGCCTCTAACCCAGCCACAGTCCCAAACACAGGTTCCTCCTTTACAGCAGTCTCAGACACAACCTCAGCCTCAAACATTGCCTCAGCCTCAAGTCCTTCAACTGCAACAGACCCTACCGCTTCCACAATCACAACTGCCTATAACCAATAAGCCTCCCCCACCTCAGTTCAAGGTGAAACCAACTGCTTCTCTCATGCCTGATGACAAGAAGAAGTTGCAGGGTCACAAAAAGAAGAACCGCAAATCTCCCGCCGGTAGTCCCCATCCACAACCCGAACAACCATCTTTTGGCGTAGACGCATCAGGTCGTGAAGACGTACAAAGTCCTGCATATTCAGACATATCTGATGATACGGCTCCGGTTTTGGAATCTGAGGTTGGCGATGGAAAGAGCAAAGGACAGATTGGGGACAAAAAGGGAGAAGTAGGGCAGGGACCTTCGCCACATACCATGCCACATTATGGCATGTACCCCTTCTATGGTCAACCGCCATATCTTGTTCCTTCTGTGCAGCAGGACAGTAAACCAAAGGAGAATAATGAGAAACTGGTGGAAAACAAAGGCATAGAAAAGGAGAAGAAAGATGGTGCAAGTAATGGTGACTATCAACAGAAATTGTTACAACAACACTACTATCCGTATGGCTACATGCCAAGTTATGCTTACAATCTGGAGCCTAGTTATCCTGTGGCCGTTATGCCCCCAGAAGATAAAGGGAAAGAACCACTTGGTAAGGAAGATAAGAGTCCTAGTCCCTCAGACCAAGGGAAGCCTATTCCTGCAGCACCAAGTCCAATCCAGGTTCCCAATCCTTCCAAAGTGAAAGTTGAGCCTGGACCTGGTATGAAGGACAAACATCAGAATGAAAACCATCAAATACTGAAAGAAAGCATCGAGATAAAGAACCAGATGAGTCCGTATTTGTATTCACGCCAACAGCAGCAGCAGCAACAACAGCAACAGCAGCATCAGCAACAGCAACAGCAACAGCAGCAGCAGCAGCAGCAGCAGCAACAACAACAACAACAGCAACAACAGGAAGAGTTGCGGAGGTATTATTTGTACCCTGATCAACAACGTCGCAAAGAACCACAAGGGCAGCCAGAACCTTCACCCAAACCTAGTGCACCGCCCTCCAAACAAATGTTGCCCAGCCCAAGCCAGAAGCATAAAGATAAACCTTCGGAAGAGAAGAAGGAGGATAAGGTAAAACAGGAAGGAGTGAAACCTACAATGGAGACGCAGGGTCCTCCACCGCCACCAACATCCTCTTATGCCTACATCCATCCAAGCTATATGCAGTCACCACATTATGGGGCATTACCATTTGATCCTGGCCACCCCATGTATCGAAGCATCAATCCCATGCTAGTTCCAGGATACGGGACAAATCCGTACCTTCACCCCCAGATACCCCGTTATCATGCACCGGAAGATCTATCACGCCCGCCTTCAGGGCCTACCAAAGCGTTGGATTTGCTGCAGCATCATGCTAACCAATATTACTCGTCGCATAAAATCCACGAGCTTCAGGAACGCGCACTCAAATCTCCCACGCCTAAGACCGCAGTGTCGAGTGCTTCGCCATCTGGAGCAGGTGGCCCGCCAGTAGGGGCCCCTCCAGGGCAGGGCATACCTCAAGGGCCTCCTGTTTCTGTGGCAGGTAGTGGACCAGGAGGGCCTGCACCTACAGGAAAGCAGGTACCTGGTGATGGAAAGGAAACAAGATCTCCTCCTCCTCAACGTCACGTGCACACGCACCACCACACCCATGTCGGGCTGGGCTACCCCATACTGGCAGGCCAGTATCCTGCACCTTATGGAGGTAAGCCTATGGTCCGGCCCTGACAGTAGTAAATGTAGGCTTGTCTTGACCTACGGTAGTTGCTAGTCGTTGCCATGATCTGTGGCGGATGTATAGTACAGTACACCATATTGGTGACACTTCGATTCTGACTGATTTACCCTCATTCCAGAGAGCTTGCAAAACAGTCATATTTTGTTACCAAAAATATCGTTGTTATAATACTTAATAAAATTATTGTATTTGCAGTAAAATACCATAGATCTTAGAGAAGTCTGTGATATCTCTTATGGCATTATTGAATGGCGGTAGGAACCAATATCTTCTTTGTTTGTAATACGTCACGAGGCAGTTTGTAAACATTGTATGTACATAAGCATAAAATTAGTTCACATGTGGTAATAGTAAATACTGTAAAAACTTTGTGTCCTTGTTTTATCTGGGGGGAACCGGATCTGAAACAACGTATTTCTGTCCACGTCACTAGCAGATTGTGAATTTGTAACACAAATGTTTTATTAGTCTTCCATTATAGTTGTAGTTACTACATCAAGAAGCGATGTGTTTATTTGCACATTCACTGCCACTGAAATAATTTTTACTCCATTACATAAGTTGGTGAAACTTCGGTAAAGTTTAGGGTGACGCTGGTGTCGGTGGCATATTTTTATCGGGGATGGGATCACGCGTCAAGTACAAAGACGACAAAGTTTTTATAGTGATGTAGTGCCTACTCGGCCACAAATGAGAGTATATAAATGAAATATCTGACCGTGGTACCTTGGCGCACGGATCGTTAGTCGGTCGGATGCACGCGTCTAACGAAGTTAGCGCGCTTGTTCGGTGGAAATCAGCTCGCACAGTGAAGAGCAGACAGACCATCACCCGCAGAAAATATTTTTGTTCAAAATCCAGAGAATCTTTCATGTTTCAATTTACAGTACTTGTGAACTTTTAAGTGAAATGGAAAACAGACACGGAATGGACACTGACAAGAATGTGAGTGGGTGTGGCCAGGTGCTAATGCGCATGTTTCTTGATTGCAGCGGCTGTGCTAGCGA